TGTATGTATGTATCCCCTGTCCCTGTCTCCATCTCTCCCTATCTCCCTCTATCTCTCCCTGTCTCCCTCTATCTCAAACACATGTTTTGTTTTTCATAGATATATTTTTGAGATCTCCAGAAGATACCCCAAAGCATTAGTTGTTGTAATCCTTGAAGCAACTAAAAACTATAACAAAATCTTGGAAACTTGCTGTGCAGCAGCTGATAAAGATGTCTGTATCAATGAAAAGGTATTTCACCTTGCATCTTGAAATGTTGTAGAAATAAGTTGTAGCATCTATTAGTGTTGACACTATATCTACATTTTCCCCACAGTTATTCTACTTTTATTTGCAGGTCTTTTTTCATTATTTTCTCCAGTTCTTTCTTTTCTATCCTGTTGCCTCCAGGTACTGCCACCTGCACTATTATGACATATTTGTCTTTCTTATCAATTATGGTTAAAACTGGTCTAGTATTGGTAGGTGTCTATCCAATTTTAAATTCCCAGAGCAATGTTCTATTACTTCATCTATTTTATGGCCCCACCAGTTCTTATTTGAGGCAAATGATATTGCTTGCAGATCTTCCAATGCATCATTGTTCTACTTTGTCACACCATTGCTTGGAATCAGTTTGTACAATCTTATTGCAGCAGCTAATTAGGTGATCCAATATTTCTTCAGCTTCCTTGGGGATGGCATTTATTATCTGCTGTTGTCTTTTCAGTTATGATTTGTGTACAAATATATGTGTTTGTCCTAACGGCTTGATTTTGTGCAGCCACAATGAATCCCATATCTCTTCAATTTTTCTGCACCTATCCATAGCCTTATAAGTATATGCTTTGCCTACTATTCTTGTAATATACCAGACATATAATATTTTTTCTTCTTATGTCTCTTTTCTATTCTTCGATTGTTCTTTTTTTGTAAGCCAGTTCAATTTTTTCAGTACTCAGTAACCTTCCCTAGTAGAATAGCTTCGATATTTCTTATTCACTGCCTTCAGATATTCTTCTAATTCTCTATATTATTGTTCAACTATCTGATGTACTTGCAACATTGGACCCTGACCTAATTTATTTGGTAAGTATAATCAGTCAACAGCACTGCAAGAAAAGCATGATTCACTGTCATTATTTTTCTGGTCTTTCTATCCAGGACTTCTTGTCCTGTTTGGGTCCAAACCACTATTCCAGCTATGTACTATTCCAGTCTTTAACTTATGACAATACCAGAACCCCAAATTTCTGTTGCTATGTGAAACAGATGTTAAGTGAGCTTTTCCCCATTTTATGATCTTTCTTGACACACTTGTTAAATGAATCATTGCAATTAAGTTAGTAACATGGTTGTTAAGTGAATCTGGTTTTTCCATTGACTTTGCTTGTCAGAAAGTTGTGAACTGTGATCACATGATCCCGGGACACTACAACCATTATAAATATGAGTCAGTTGCCAAGCAACTGAATTTTGATCACATGCTGCAATAGTCATAAGTGTGAAAAACAAGTCTTGTGTCCTTTTTTCTGTGCTGTTGTAATTTCAACTGATCATTTATAAACAATTGTAAGTCATGGACTATCTTTATTTCCTCCACTGTACTTTAAGAACCTCTTCATTCTCTTGATGTATCCACTTGTAACCTATTTCTTGAGTTCACTGTCCTTGATGTTGTCAGCTTGTAGAATGCCAGGTGTTTGTAATGATCATCTTCATCCATTCATTTCATCAGAGACTCTTGATATTATTTCTTTATTTCAGTTTTCATTATTTTTCAACATTTGATGGTGAGAGTTTGGTCCACTCCAATTCCATTGCAATATCTTGGCTGCATATATGGATAGTGTTGAGGAGCAATTCTATTTCAGATGTTGTTTTTCCATACAGTTACAAATCATCCATGCAAAGGAGGTGGAATAGCCTGGCAGATGCTTTGGATGTTTGATAACCATCACCTGAGTTATTCAGTATTGTTGACAGAGAAATCAGTGCAATGACAAACAATAGTAGTGAAAGTGAGATTCCTCTTTTGATATTAACTTCTCCCAATCTATCACCATTGACCTATAATCATGTCTTCCATTGTGCTGTCAATCTTTGCAGAAAACTTCTGATGTTTCTACTAACTCCAATTATTGCTAGGCACTTGATTATCAACTTAGTGTCAGGGAGTCTATGCTATATTCAAGTAAGTCTTCCTTCTCTTGCAGTTTTCCAGAATCACCTTGTCAATTAGGAGTTGCTTTTTTGCTGCTCTACTGTTTGGGCAGTTTCCTTTCTGCTCAGGTGCAAAGAGCTTGAAGGATGCTCTCTAAGCTTGGCTATTTTCTTGCAATTGTTGTTTCATTACTCAAACTAGGTAATATAATCAATGCTAGTAATGTTACCTAGTTTGGGTAATGAAATGTCTGCAAGAAAACAAGCTCAGAGAGCACCAAAGAACTCTCATTTCAACATTGAGCTACAAATATTCTTATTTATTAGCAAAGAGCATTGTTTCAACTAGATGCTGTTGGATTGCATTAGCTATCACATCAATTAGATTGGAAATTTTGATTTGTTGCACAGTGAGCCAGAGGTCCAGACTGGATTTGGCATTTTTATCCACCTATTGAGTTTTTTCCCAAGGACTTGGGATACAGATATATGAAAGTTTTATAGTGTTAGAAGTATCCTTGCAAGATGTTATCAGTTTTGAGTAAGGTTGCCTTTTGCAATATTGGCTGGGGGTGAATTTGTCAAAGTCGATGGTGTTCAAATGTTGCTCTAGGTGTTACATTTACATTCTTTAGCCATAGTCATTCTATTTCTATGTGTTATCACTCTTTTTTATCTCTCTCTTCTCAGACTGAGTAAAAATGTTTTCTTCTTCTTTTCTTTTCTTTTTTGTAACAGGCAACAGAAGCCAAAAAGAAATTCAGGGAAATACTTGAAGAACAGGAATATACTTGTTATAATCTGAAGAAATATGGAAAAGATAAATTACATGCATTGTAAGTCTGGTTTATTTGGGATGTTGTAGGAAATGAACTCCTGGGAATGTGCATTAAATATAACTAAATGGTATACTTAGACTTTAAGGCCATCTTGAGTATATGTCAATAGGTTTCATGAGGCAATATGTGATCTCTATATGAAACAGATTAAACAATGTAATAGAGTGTATGGATGACCTTGTGGGACAAGGGAAAGAATTGCTGCCTAGGAAATAATCAGTCGAGAGAAGTGGAAATTCCCAACAGCTTAAGTCAGAGGAAGAAGTTTAGGGATGACCCACCCTAACTGATCAGATGGTTAAAAGCAGTGGCAAAAAGTTTGTACCTTCAGTCTCAAAATTCTGTATGTAGCCTTATAATAAAGGAGAATTAGCTTATGTAGCCATGTTTCCTGTCTGGTTTACCTGGAAGAACTGGCAACAGGGATATTCAGAAGAGATAGTGGTACTGAAAATAAGCCAACACTATGTCTATAATAATAGCTAAATCAATTAGCCTTTATTTATGAAATATCTTAAAAGGAAAATAGGATATAAACAATGAAGCCATTTTATTGATAAGACAAAGTTTCAGTAATCATATTCAGTTTTTTATAATTCTTAAGATTTTATTTACCCAGAGACTCAAGCAAGATCAAAATCATATGAAGAACATGGTCTGGAGGCAACGATTTTGTATTTTGACCATTTGAGAAAGATTTATATATGTTTAATAGATTATTACTTTGCTATAATCAGCCCTTTTAGGTAATGCAGATAAGAAGCACAAACTTGCAACTTATAAATTCTATTTTTAAATAACAGAGTCTTACAAATCTGACAGAGCTTCTCTACTCCTTTATTTTTACTTTTAAGGAAACTGCAGATGACCCCTTCTGAGGTGCTTCATGCTCTTCTTTTCTTTCTGTTGACTGAGATGGTAGTCTAGGCTGCTGTTTCCCAAAATCATTTTCACATACCATTATATTTATTTACTTTTTGAAATAAACAAAAGATCCCAAATAAGAAACCTAAATTAATAATGAAAAAGGGACGGAGGAAGGGAGGAAGGAAGGACAACTTCGGAAAATTTATACATACAGAGAGACACTCACACACACACTGTATACACTCTCTCTCTCTCTCTCTCTCTCACACACACACACACACACACACACACAATCTTACGGAATCCATACATAATTTTCTATTGCAGAAGGACATTGATAGAAGTAATCATTTGGAGAATAATCTGGTTAAAATAGTTTATAGTAGATAGATAGTAGAGCTGGATGCAACTAAGTACTTTTAGAACTTTAAAAGATTTAATTATTATTCTGTTAATTTTTGAATCAATGAATTTTTAAATATAACTGATCTCAGGATGGATATTCTTCCATTTTCCCACGTCATTATAGTTGTGCTTTTAAAGTTGTAGCAACGTTTCGGCAGAATCTCATCTGCCATCATCAGGCTTCTGTATTGTGTTTGTCTGTGAGTCAGACTTTCACAGCCGTTTCTGTTTTAAATTTGGTACTAGCCTACTGCTGTGCCAGAATATATATACATATTTGATATCCACAAAGGACAAATGGCACCATTACTGGCTGTGGCATACTATTGGCAACTTCTATCTCTTATGTTTTCTAAATTATTCTATAAAGATTAGTCATCTTGAAAGTGACTGATTTCTGAATATGTAAAATATTCTTGGGACTGTAAATTTCAAGAAAGATTCCTATTGCTCTTAAAAACTGACGCTGTGCCAAAATCTGCTCCATACATTTTTGTTTTTGTTTAAAAAATATGTTCATGATCCTTGAGAATTTATTTCAGATTTTTTAGCTTACTTTTCATGGCAGAGGGGAGGTTTTTGTTTATTTAGAGTTACAAGATTCTGCTCACCATTCATATACATCTTTGAAGACAATATTGGTTATTTCTTTTTCTTATTTTTGAAACATTCCCAAGGGGAGAATTCCAACAAAATCCCTTCTCTGGAAACTAAATTCCCTGATGCATAGGGAGCTACTGCTGAAGGAATTATTGTTCACTGAAAGAAAAATAGTTGTATCTATACCAGTGTGATTATGCAAGAAAGGAAACCTAAAGCCCCAAATATGATTGCAAAATAAATTAAAAAATAGTACCTTGTGCAATTATGGGGATATCCAATTTTAAAGTGGAAGATTACATGAATATATGATATTGCAATTGCTTGTGGAAATACATGGTAGAAATTATTTAGAATCTGCTTTGAAATAATCCTAATGCTTTCCTTTGCTTTTCTTTCTAGGAAATTTATTGAGACACATGAAAAGTTTGTCAATGCTAATCAGGAAACTATATCCCATATTGTTAAAGTTGTTGTGCACATCTATGAAGAAATCTGTAAGGGGAATTCCGTGGAGGTTTTAGTTGATAGAGTAAGATATACTCATGTCTGCTGCTTCAAATCTAAGATATATAGATATGAAAACTCCTAGAAAGAGGCTCTTTTTGTTTACCTGATTGACTTTATTAAGGTGCTTTCTTTTTCTTTTTTACTAGGCCTTCAAAGCACTCAACCATGCTTTTGAGTGGATAAGGCATTTGCTCAATGAACTTTTATCCAAAGTACTGTAGAAAGTTAAGAAGTAGTTTTTTAAATGCTCTGTCTCAACCCCAAGGATTTTTTTTTTTACTTTGGTCTTTTTTTCTACTACCATCTTTTGACATTTTCAAATTTCTATGTTGATTTTTCAAATTAAATTTCCTAAATTCATGAAAATTTGGTTCAACACACATATATACAAACAGATACATTATATTATTTTGTTTTCACAACTGAAGATTGAAAATGTAAATAGAAAATATATAACATTCAGACCCAGGTTCTGGTCCTCTTTAGGCATTGAAGTTGGCTAGCTGATCTTGGGCAAGTCAATTGTTCTCAGTCCCAAACCATCACAATATAACTCTTTATCTGTCAGCTTTTGTTTTGCTGCGTAAAGTATGCCAGCACTTTGCAAACAAGCAAGTATACAACCAAGCAAGAAAAAAAGGAGGAACAGGAAGAGAAGTAGGACATAGCTGTGATACCACTTTATACAAGTGGCAGAGGGTTGTGTGATGACATAAAATGAGTAGAATTTATTTAGATTTATGTGGTTCTATTTGCTTTTTAAAAAACTTTGACCACCAACCATAGATGGACAAAGACACAAACTAACAAATATGAACCACATTAACACCAACTTCTTAAAAACACAGAAAAGATCTGGTAAACTAGATGACCCTTCATATATACAGTAAATGACTTATATAGTAGTTTCAGGAATGAACTCAAATCCTACCTTTTAGCATCTCTCTAGATGTTTTATCTAGTCATTTTTTTCTAGTAACATCAGCACAATACCTCTGTCTTTGCTTCAGTTTCCTAGAATGAAAGAAGAGAAAGGTTACTTATTCTCTGCAGGATTAAACATTTGCAAATAAAAATAAATAAGCATTGTACATTGTGTAGAAAAAGGCTGTTTTAAGAATTATGTCACATTCTCTAAACATCTGAAATAGAATATATCTAATGTGTTGTGTGTTTCCACAGATTTAGTGATTTACATCAAAGCAAAATCTTTTGAAGAGTTACTTATTCACCATTATTAATTTTATTTGGAAAGAAGCCTTGAAAGGGTTTTGCGATGGTCCATAGTTCCTCCAGCTATAACTTGCTTTTCTTCTAAGGACCAATTTCTCTCTCTTCTTACAGATAGCCCTGTCACAATATGCCTGTGAGCACAAAGATGCTATATCTTCTAACATTGCTCCTTGCTGTGAAAAGCCTCTGGTGGAAAGGCCAAACTGCCTTGCTACTTTAGAAAATGATGCAAGATCTCCGGATCTGCCCCCACCATCTGGAGAAATATTAAAGGAGACAGAAGCATGTAAATCTTATACTGAACATAGAGATGACTACAAGGAAAGGTATGGCTTAGAGATTTTCACACTAGTCCTCACTAAAGGCTGGGGCTAGATTGTACAAAATAATGCAAGTAGATACAGTCTTGTGCTTTGAATGTATGGAACAGATCCTACTCCAAGTTGAGATGCAATAAGACAATGGGTATTGGAGAAGAGTATTGGCAGTTTTCCCCTAAGTATTACTTCAAAACCTTAAAGCAATGGTCCCCAACCTTTCTGGCTTTGAGGACCGGTGGGGTGAGAAGAAGAGGGAATGTTTCCACCACTCGCACAAATGGATCTTCATGGATGCACATACTGATCTGTTGCTCATGCAAGTGGAGCTATGCCCACATTTACCTACTGTTTTGTGGCCCAGTTCTAAACAGGCCATGGCCCAGTATTGGGCTGGGGCCCAGGGGGTTGAGGAGTTATTTGAAGAATTATTTGTATCTCATAACTTTATCTCAGCTCCTAAACGACATTGTCTGGAAGGATTTAATTGCACTGTCTGAATTGAAACAAGATGCAGTTGCCAGTCTGGTTGGATTTTTCAAATTGAATGGAGAAATTTTCATTATACTTTGTTTCAAGTAATAAACTGTTCGGGCAGATGGAGGGCACAACAGTAGGATGATCTAGACATAATACATTGGAATTAAAAAGTTAATGAATCTCTCTACAGAAATAAGAGTCAAAAAGAAAAGAAGCCGAATTAGTAGTAAATAGAAAAAATGATCTAGCAAACTAAACCTGAAAGAGAGAAGCATGGATTCACAATTGAAACTGAAAAAATATGTGTGTTTGGGTAATTTCAACCGATACCAAAAGAAACAGATTAGTCATACTATAAAAATGCTGGAAGCTGACACACAGCTCTTTTGTATTTGCTCCATAATTTCCAAGATTGACCCAATGTCAGCATTCCAGCAAACGTCCATTCCAATCAGTACCTGTGAGTTTTGAAAGCCATTTTCCACGCTGCCACCCAGAAGACATCTGCAAAGTCTAGAATTATATATAATATAATTATATATTATATAATGACAGTATTTTTCAATGATTACTGAAATAATACATTTCAAGAATATGGAATATATTGTCTTATTTTGTAGCTAGCAATGTTTTTTTATCCAATTTTTCACTTGTTTTAGCTTCCTCTTTACATTAACAAGAAATCATCCTGAACTTTCTAAACTGATTGATCTGGAAATTTTGCATAAATATGAACAACTGTTGGAAAAATGCTGCCAACTAGAAGACCACGTACAGTGTTTGCATACAGGGGTGAGTTCCTTTGTCTCTGCCCAGGGCCCTTCCTATTGGCCTATCCTCAGCCAGCCCAACCCAGCCCCATTGCGACACTATTAATAATTACTCAGAAACTGAAAGACATATTATGCATTGAGACAAGACCTTTATTAAATGTCATATTTAGAATGGAAAATGTCAGCCTCAGGCAATGTATGACTGTTTTTTAATTATTCATTTTTTAAACTTGCTTCTTTTGTTTTGTTAAGTTTTATTTTGCTTGGGAAGATGGAAGAGTCATTACACCGGAAGTCATTACAATATATACTGAGTGGAGCAGCTCTTGAAAAATATTTGGAAATCATAACTATTGTAAAGCCAGATATTTTTTTGCTATATTATACAGGTCTTATGTATAATTCCTGCACTGATTTCATTACCAGGCCAAATTTCAGGTCTATTTAAATTTTCATGTCAGTTTGTAATATGTCTAATCTATAAAATAGGTTCAAATGATAGGAACATGTGACATGACATTTTCTATGACAGCACTCTATACAAAGGGGATATTTTTAATATCATTTAGTTACTATAAATGACTTTAGGATCCTTCTTCAGAATGGAATGAAGTATAAAGACATCTGTATGATATTTTAAAAAAACAAATCACTGAGTACAGATTTATTCTAAAATTATAATGACCAATGAAGGTTTCTAAAAATTCTAAAAATTTCCAAAAACGCTGTGGAAAGAAAAATTCTAGATATAAAAGGAATATATGGCACTAGCCAGATTAGAAGATATTGTTTGTCCCTTCCTTTATAGTCACATTTGCAAATTTAAATGATTACAGCAAAATTGTTTTTAACAAATCATGATCTTTGTTATTTTTTCCCATTCGCATTTTCCTCTAACATGGGGAAAATCCAAAGTTGCCAATCCCATTTTCAACAGTGTTTAATATCTCTTGCCTCCTCCAAAGTAAGAATATATATTTCTCCAACTTTGTCCTAGCATTATTTATATTGCTTCTTCCTAGGTGTGCTCATTGTTATTTTGTGTGTGTGTATGTGTATGTATGTGTATATGTATATAAATATATGTATGTGTGTGTGTGTGTGTATGTATGTATATGTACATTATGTGTGTGTGTGTGTGTGTGTGTGTGTGTATTAAAAATTGTATTCTCTTTCAGGAAGAACAACTTAAATCATACATTACTAAGATTAATGAAGTTGTGAAGAATAATTGTAATAATTATAAAGAAATAGGAGGGTACTTCTTCCAAAACGAGTAAGTTTTTCTTTGGATGATAAATTTTTGATAAGCAGAACCATTTGTGGATGCAAAATTGTTTATATTCAAGGGGATGAAAGAAAATAATATTTCACCAAATGTTTAAAATGTCTTGAGGTTCTCCTGCACCTGTAGTGATTTTCAGTCTTTTTCAGAGGAATATTCAGGAAATTAATTTCTAAATGTTTTACTGCCTATAAATAGACTAGATAATTCAATTGCAACTATGAATCTACTTTTTATAATACAAAAATGCTAAAATAATAATGTTTTCTAGGTATAAAAGGATTTTAAAATGCGCCAAAGGAGTTTAATAAAATGTCATAAAGCTTATGGCAGCATGTATAAATCATTTAAATTAACATTAAAAATGTAATTACTCAGGTGCTTCTCTGATGTCCCAAAGAGAAGGGAATGGCTGAGATGTGTTTGCATAGTCAGATTTTTAGATTTTGTTGAAAGGGAAAGATTGCTTGGATTTTACTAAAACCCTACAAATCAATCCTCAGGAATTCTTTTTTTTCCCTAGCATCCTTTAGTGCTTTTACAAACTTGTCTTATTCAAAAGCATACAACTTTTCTAATTGGCCTTTTCTTGCAGATATTTGATCAAGTATAGCAAAATTATACCACAGGCTCCAACTTCTAAGCTGATTGAGTTGACCGAAAAAGTGGCAAAGGTAGCTGAGAAATGCTGCCATTTAGATAGCAATCACCAAGTCTTATGTGCTTTAGAAAATGTGAGTACTGTTTCTTTCATATATTCTGTTCCTTTGCTTCAATTCCATTTCTTCCTTAAGTGACACATCACTATGAAATGTCTGTAGATGGTCTCAGTGGAATGAAGGGCTATGTGGGCTTCCAAAGCTAAGAGTTTCCCCTGGGCCAATATCTTCCCCTGGGCCAATATCTTCCATACTCTATCGTCAAGTGACAGAGTCTTCCACAAACAACAAATTTCTATTAAAAACGATAACGCCATAAAACTGAACTGAGAGCAAGAAAAAAAAACATTTTATCAAATATAAACTACTAAGGGATTAGTTACAGGGATCTTCTTAGATGTGTATGAGTGTGATCCTATCCATATGTAATCAAAATATTTTAATGTCGTTATTTGAAGCTGTGTATTCTCAGTGGAGAAATATTAGTTTTTGTTGTCAAAATTCTGATTTTGTCTTTTTAATATTTCATTTATGAATAAAGTTATACTGTAAATTTACAAATTGGAAACATTAAAATCTCCTGCTTCCAAAAAAGAAGCCAACAGATAAAACCTTTCCTGTAAAGCAATTTACTAAGTCAACTCAATAATTTGGTTTCTTGTTACTATGTTGGAATACAAAGAGACAGATCGACGGACAGTTAGACAGGCAGAAAGAATCAGCAGTTATCTACAGCACATATCAATTAAAATTTTGTCCTAAGAAGGAAAGTGTATTTTGAACATTCAGAGAAAAAAGCTATTAATTTATCTAGACTTGTTTTTGACATACCTTTCATGCAACCCTGTTAGCATCAAATAAAAGCTAACCCTTGTATACTACATGCATAGCATATACTGGTTATATCATGTAGTTGAAGAAGTTCATTGGATTCCCACCCCCCTCTCTCCCTTCTCAGACAGATAAAGTGATAGGATCTATATGTAGCTATCATGAGGAACATCATACAAACAAACAAATTTGCCATTGCTGTGACTCCTCCTTTATCAGCCGTTGGGAATGTATCAATAACTTAGGACCAGATCCATCCTATGTCCCTCCTCCATTCAAACCTAAAACACTGGATGCCCCCGAGAATTTGTGCTCACCTAATGAAGAGACTGTGCAGAAAAGTAAGCAAAGGTAAGAAAACAAATCCTTTTAATCTAATATATTGTTACAGGATATATATCAAACAAGACATGATACTTCATACATCTGCAATTCCTGTGTTCATCTTATTGTATTCTAGGCATGATTTTATTTAGATACCTGCCATATCAATCTCCTTTCTTAGGATATCTGCCTTCTCAAAATGTCTTTGGTGATTTATCTTGCAGCATTTGTTTTCATCCTCTTTTCATCTTTTGTTTTGGTAGAAATTTCCAGTTTCATCAGCGGGAGTTTACACTAAGAAAGTACATAATTAAAAAATTGTGTATATATGCATGGTCAGATTTCTCACCTTTGGAATCTAAAAAATAGTGAAATTGTAGAAGCTCTTAGTATCAACAGAGGATTTAATAGTTATTGTTTGTCTTGCAGTTTGCTTAGTGACTTGATAAAATCCAAACCTAATATCCCAGATGAAGAGCTTGCCGTTGGAATCCTAGCTTTCCGTGAGCTCCAAACAGATTGCTGTGCAGCTGAAAACAAAAAAGAATGCTTTGACACAAAGGTATACCTTAAATAGGAGAATGCATGGGGAAAGTTTAATAAAGTGTTCTGGATTATTACTGCCTCCAAATTTAAATTTCCCTTCATCAAATAAGCATCAGTTTAGTGGAATAAACTATTACTCTTACAATTCTAGTTGGCATGGCCATATGTAAAAGAGATTGGAACAGATATAAGAATCCATCTTAATGATGATTTTTGTGGAGTTTTAATTCTTTAATTTGCATAATTTTAATATTTTAACTATAAGTCACAGTTCCAATTAATAAGGTTCTACTATCATAATATAAATAAATATGCATTCACTGTGAAATACAAACCAATTTTAACTTGTAAACAAGGTGAATGGAATTTAGCTATCAGAAATCCAGTCTTTAGAGACATATAAAATTTAATAGTAAAATATAATTTTTCTATTAGAAGATAATTCTGCAGATCTGCAGCACAAGAAAAAGTTTTTTCACCCATGTATTATGCCATGGAAAATGATATACACCATAAAAAGTTCCCAGCATCTTCAAAGTAAATGAATTGTGTTTGTATTACTGCAAAAAGGGTGCAGACCAAAAGTCCACATCATACTACTTTTATCCTTTTCTATCTTGGTTTTGGTAATACTTTGTATGAAGCCAGTTTGGTCTAGTGGTTAAGGCACCAGGATAGAAACCAGGAAACTGTGAGTTCTAATCCTGCCTTAGGCATGAAAGCTGGCTGGGTGACCAGTTGTCCTTTGGTCTGGGTGACCAGTTGTACTCACAGGATTGTTATTGTGGGAAAAATAGGAAGAAGAAGAATATTAGGTGTATGTACCACCTTAAGTTGTTTATAAAAATAATAAAGTGTGTGTGTGTGTGTGTTTACACATCTTCTGTGTCTTCCTGTGGAATGAGAAACTGACAAATCTAAGAAGAATGTTCTTATGAATAAGAGCATGGAAGGTTTTAGGTGCAGAAGCAGCCTTCTGTTCATAATAATGACTGTTAGGAAGAACACAATTAATTTATTCAACTGGGTGAAGATTTATGTGATTTACTTTGTTCAGCAAGTCTCAGATTATATATACTTTTTTGTTTTGTTTTTCAGGGTCAAAAACTGGTTGAACAGCTTCAAAGTGGTCATATAACTGAGTAACTATCTTAGGTGAGCTAATATAGAGATATAGTTTATATCTCAGTGCTTTAGTAATTTTATGCTAATGATGCTTGAATGGGATAAGAAGCCATCCTTGCACACCGAAGATACAAATGTATGAATAAGTCTCTATTCAATCATGATATTCCTTAGATTAATATAATATGATTCCTTGGTCTCTTCAAATAATTCCTTCCTTATTTTGAATAATCCAAAGTGAATTAATTTATTTTCTTTATTCTCAAAATCCTTTAGTTTTAATTGATTTTGTATCTTTGTGTTTATAACAGACCATGAAAAATCAGGATGTTGATAATCTATTTATCCAGTTGCCCTGATTTATGTTGATATTTTCTGCTTTGGAACACATAGGTTCTTATGCAGTGCCATGGTTATTTTTAGCTCAATTGCTATTTATATTGTTGGCCCAAAAATATGTTTCATGTAAAACATTAGCAATGGCATTGTCACCAGAATGTATTTCTTCCATAATGTCTCTATCAAAAGAATTTCCCTCTAATTCTTGATAACTGAGTTTAAATATTTTATATCTATGTCTTCAGCATTAAAATAACAGATTCATCCTATTCTTTTTTGTAGCTTCCACAATGGAAGAATGCTGGAGATAAAGAATCCAAACATCCCCAAGCATCTTTGGTTGCTGCTTTCATGTCAGCCTTCTAATGTCAAGGATCTCCAATTTGATTCTTGGCTAAACAATTATTTCTTATGAAAGTGTCACCATCTTTAAAATGAAAATAAATAAAAGCTTTAAAAAGAAAGATTGACTTACCAATTAATGCTAAAAAGATATAGCATCAGCATGCCTGCAGTTATTTGTTTCCATCTCTCCCTCTCCCTCCCTCCCCCCTCCCCCACCCTCTCTCAGTCTCTGTCTCTCTGTTTCTCTCTGTGTGTGTATGTACAAGAGATAGTATGAAAAAGAGAGAATGAAATTCTGGGTACGTTGAGAGGTTTAATAACCAACACATCAAAAATCAAGTAATAGTTTCTGAATATTGTTTTATAATGTTTATTCTGGTCATTTAGTGCTTTTTTCTTCCTAAAAGAGGGTGTGTGTATACACATTATCTCAATATGTTTGTGTATGTGTGTGTGTATGGTATTCAGCTTTGTTCGGGTATTTTCCCACGTCATTATAGTTGTGCTTTTAAAGTTGTAGTGACATTTAAGCAGAATCTCATCTGCCATCATCAGGCTTCTGTATTGTGTTCGTCTGTGAGTCAGGCTTTCACAGCCGTTTCTGTTTTAAATTTGGTGCTAGCCTACTGCTGTGAAAGCCTGACTCACAGACGAACACAATACACAAGCTTGATGATGGCAGATGAGATTCTGCCAAAACGTTGCTACAACTTTAAAAGCACAACTATAATGACGTGGGAAAATACCCGAACAAAACTGAATACCATACATGTAAGTACCCGCGAACACTTAAGAAACACACACACACACACACACACACACACACACATATATGAAATATTTTATGTTGCAGTGACATAACATATTTTTTCATAATTAGGTTTATTTTTCAAATATAAAATCAACTAAATATAGATGTTTCAGTAACTGTCATTGACAGCATCAAAATATATGCATCTCCCATATTTAAAAAACAAAGTTTGACCATACTTAAGCATATGGCTTTTCTACAAACAAAAACCATATCCTGATAATTTCATTCAGAGAACTCCTTGTAGTTTTATTGCCTAGTATGTGGAAATACTTTGCCATAACCTTTGGAAAATTTAGTTAACTGTATGGTGAAAAACCTTTTAAATGAATAGTTCCAATATATATATTTAAAAATAAAAGATAATATATTTGGTGAAAAGTCATCCACATCCCTAAATAATACATACACATAAACACACACACACACACACACACACACACACCAAAAATCTCTTCAAATATGATTCATGCTTCGGTACTCATGGATACCTAAGATTGTCATGTTAATATGAAGAAAAACAAAGAAAATTATGTTTTTAAACCGTACTCAATGAGTAGTCCTTAATGGGTCTAAGTCTACATGGAGGGAAGTAAGCAGTGGGTGCCACAAGGTTTCATCTTAGGCCCAGTACTCTTCAATATCTTCATTAATGACTTAGATGAGGGAATAGAAGGGGAACTTACCAAATTTGCAGATGATACCAAGCTGGCAGGAATAGCTAACACCCAAGAAAATAGGCTCAAGATCCAGATGGATCTTGACAGACTTGAACACTGGGCAAACAGTGTTCTAACAAAATGAAATTTAATGTAGAGAAAAGTAAAGTCCTACTCTTAGGCAAGAGAAACCAAAAGTGCACATATAAACTGGCTCAATAGTAGTAACTGTGAGAGGGATCTTGAAGTCTTAGTGGACAACCAGCTAAATATGAGCCAGCAGTGTGCAGCAGCTGTCAAAAAAGCTAATGCAATCCTAAATTGTATTAACAGAGGGATACAATCAAGATCAAGGAAGTACTAATACCACTCTATAAAGCCTTAGTAAGACCACACCTAGAGTACTGCATCCAGTTTTGTTCACCACATTATAAAAAAGATGTTGAGACTCTAGAAAAAGTACAGAGAAGAGCAACCAGGATGATTAGGGGACTGGAGGCTAAAACATACAATGAATGGTTGCAGGAACTGGGCTTGGATAGTCTAATAAAGAGAAGGACCAGGGGAGAAATGATAGCAGTCTTCCAATATTTGAGGGGCTGCCACAGGGAGGAAGGGGTCAAACTGTTTTCTAAAGTGCCTGTAGGCCAGACAGGGAATAATGGATGGAAACTGAACAAGGAGAGATTTAACCTGGAAATAAGGAGAAACTTTCTGACAGTGAGAACAATCAACCAATGGAACAACTTGCCCTCGGAAGTTGTGGGAGCGCCATCACTTGAGACTTTCAAGGAGAGATTGGACTGCCATTTGTCAGAAATGGTGTAGGGTCTCCCGCTTGGGTGGGGGGTTGGACTAGATGACCTACAAGGTCCCTTCCAACTCTGATTATCTGTTATCTGTTAAAGAAAAGCTACATATGTAATATATACATACTCATTATCCAACTTATTTTGGGGTTAAACAGGTGCTTAAAAAGTGAAATTAAATGTAAGCAAAAGAAGCTGGAAAGAGAAAATGGAATCTTGTAACTAAATTATTATTTTATAACAAAACTACTTACTATATTTTCCCATTGGCTTTTTATTATTTAAATATCTAATATCCCCCTCTTTTTGAAACCTCATTAAGGGTATGTAAGTGTTGAAAATAAGACAAAAAAAATCCTCAATTGCATAGATAAACATTTATGGGATGTTGAGATCTGTTTTATGGACAAATGAACAACCCTCAAAATTGAAACGGAGGGCATACAAAATGATCTGCCTGTCTAATGCCCTTCCCTGAAGATTCAAATTCATATAACATTTTCATAGTCTAATATAGAAGTGGTATATATCAATATATTAAGGTGTATTTCCATTTCTTCATTTTTAAATCAAAACTAAATGTTCTATAAAGAGCTTAGAATGTAAGCAAATTATCCTTCTTAAACAGAATTCATTGAGATTTGTATTCCCATTAACAAATGCTAAAGCTTGAGAGAAGATGTTTAGAGGATCCCAAGGATGACCAAGACATTCAATGATTCCTCGCACCACTTCCTATCCCCCTTCCCCAGATATTCAGTGAGCTGCTATTTGAATGTTACTAAAATTTTGAATATCTATAGTGAAATGAGTAGACAAATGAATCTGCTGGTTTCACCATCTCTCAACATTCAAAATTATTTGTAAAGAAATTTTCAAATTCTGGAAGCAAAAATACAGGGAGGGAAGGAGGGAAGAGAATAAGAATAAGAGGAAGAGGAAGAAGACGAGGAAAGAAAGAAAGAAAGAAAGAAAGAAAGAAAGAAAGAAAGAAAGAAAGAAAGAAAGAAAGAAAGAAAGAAGGGCTACATCCCAGCATTTTGAAGGAATTGGCAGATATCATCTCAGAACCATTGTACCATATCTTTTGAAGTTCTTGGAGCACTGGGAAACTACCTGAGAACTAGAAAAAAGGTTATGTGTTTCCCATCTTTAAAAAAAAAATAGACCCAAGAAACTATAGACCAATCAGCCTGTCATCCATTTCTGGGAAGATCCTGAATAAGATAATCAAGCAACAAATCTGTGAATACCTAGAAACAAGCAAAGTTATAACCAGAATTCAACATGGGTTCATCAAAAAATAGATCATGTCAAACATGGTTATTTCATTCATTGATAAATTACTAAACTAGTAGACCAATGAAATAATATGTACGTTGTATACTTGGATTTCACTAAGGTATTTGCCAAATAGATTACAATCTACTTCTTGAAAACTTAGAAAAAATGTGGGATGGACAGCACTACCAACAGATGGATTTGTAACTAGCTAACAAACCATATTCAATGGAACTATATCCAGATGGATGGAAGTAATCAGTAGGATTCTTTCTCAGGCCCAGCATTCTTCAATATTTTCATAAATGATCTAGATGAAGAAATAGAAGGGGAATTCATCAAATTTGCATATGACTCTAAATTGGCAGTACCCCAAAAGATAGGCCCAAAATCTAGATGGATCTCAACAGGCTTGAAAACTGAGCCCTATCAAACAAAATGAAATTCAATGTAGAGAAAAGCAAAGTGTTACACTTAGGCAAGGAAAACCAATTGTATACATACAGATTATGTGAAATTTGGTGCAGAGAAGTAACTGTGAGTAGGATCTTGGAGTTCCAGTGGACAATCATCTTAATATGAGACAACAGCATGCAACAGGAAGATGGTGGCTTATAACTAGCAAGGTGAGGCTCTCGCTCCGATGGTCATTTGATCACGAGTGGGGTCCCTACCATTTCCCTTCCTGATTGAAATGAATAGTTGATCGTGGGAAGATTTGCTGTTCATCCCTGATCAAAAGAGGCTCTGTTAGGTCGCCACCTGCATCAGTCATCGGCAATAATTACCCAATCCTGTGACTGAGGACCGGTTTCAGGAGCACTTGCCATTCTTGTGGCCACCCTGAAGGACCACTTGTGCCGGGGATCCCAGAGCACTGGAGCTACTGTTTCCTTCAAAACGCTGTAGCCCAGAGCCCGTTGGAGCCTTTCCTATCTATAGAAACCTATAAAATCATTGCCTGCAACTGAAATCCCGAGGAGCCAAAGCTCCTAATTCCTAAGGGTGGGCTGTAGCCCTGAACCCATTGGAGCCTCGATCAACGGCAGAGCTACAACCGCCAAACTTCCAACAGCTGAGGACTTGATCCCGGAGCACCATCGATCATCTGTGATCATCAAATCCCACATCGGAGGTCCTGATCTCATGCAGTAGCCTAATTCCTAAGATTGCTGACCAAAGACAAGGAGATCTGTGAGAAGATGGACCTAATCCCTAAGATCGCTAGCTGATGATCTGAAGTAACAAGTGAAGATTAACCTTCTGCCAAAAGATTTTCATCTTTACTTTCAGCCTAATATATGCCCGAAGACAAGAAGATCCATGTGAAGACAGATCTGGTTCCCAAAAATCACTAACTGAAGATCTGAAGAAATGAGTAAAGAGTAACTTTCTGCCAAAAGACTTTCATCTATACTTCCAACCTAATATATGCCCTCTTCCTATATCCCCCAGGAGCCATCCAAACCAAATCTTCTTCTCTTCCTCCCATTATTCTCTTCCTGCTCTAATTTTTCCCAATATAACTCTGTTTAATTCATTAACTGATCTTACTAAAC